CGTCGTCGTCGTCGTGGTCGTCGTCGTCGTCGTCGTCGTCGTCGTCGTCGTCGTCTCTGGGACCATACCATCTGGGGGGGGGGCCCGAGGAATCCTGGGACCATACCATCTGGGGGGGGGGCCGTGGGCCCTCGACCCTGGATCATATATGGACATGCGAGTTCCGCCACTGGGACCTCCGGTGGAGCTCCCTCTGGGGCCACGAAACACTGTACTGGGCCAGGGATGCGCATGCGAACTGCGCCACTGGGACCTTCGGTGGAGCTCCCTCTGGGGCCACGAAGCGCTGCTGACTGGGGGAACCGCATGAAGACTGCGCCACTGGGACCTCCGGTGGAGCTCCCTATGGGGCTAAGAAGCGCTGCACTGGGTGAAGGAACCGCATGCGAACTGCGCCACTGGGACCTTCTGGGAGCTCCCTCTGGGGCCACAAAGCGCTGTACTGGGTGGGGGAACCGCATGCAGACTGCGCCACAGAGATCTTTGGTGGAGCTCCCTATGAGGCCACGAAGCGCTGTAGTGTGTGGGGGAACCAAATGCGGACTGCGCCACCTGGGACCTTCGGTGGATGGGGCCACGCGCTGTACTGGCTGGGGGAACCGCATGAAGAATGCGCCACTGGTACCTCCGGTGGAGCTCCCTATGGGGCCAAGAAACGCTGCACGGAACCGCATGCGAACTGCGCCACTGGGACCTTCGGTGGAGCTCCCTCTGGGGCCACGAAGCGCTGTACTGGGTGGGGGAACCGCATGCGAACTGCGCCACTGGGGCCACAAAGCGCTGTACTGGGTGGGGATTCGCATGTGAGCCGGTAGAGTTCCCTCTGGGGCCACGAAACACTGTACTGGGCCAGGGAACCGCATGCGAACTGCGCCACTGGGACCTTCGGTGGAACTCCCCCTGGGCCACAAAGCGCTGTACTGTGCGGGGGAACCGCATGCGAACTGCGCCACTGGGACCTTCGGTGGAACTCCCCGTGGGCCACAAAGCGCTGTACTGTGCGGGGGAACCACATGCGGACTGCGCCACTGGGACCTTCGGTGGAGCTCCTTATGATCCCCTGTCGATGAACAGGCGTTCGCATCCGTGTGCCAGCTCACGTCTGGTCTGCTTAGGTGGTCCCGAATCGGTCACAACCCTTGCGGGCGCAGCAAACCCACATCAACCAATCGTATATGTTCCTGTCTTCCCCCTGTTTTCCCCCATTCCTCCTCCTACGCACTTGCTTCTGACATGTTTCGCGATGCCGCTACCCTGGCCGCCGTCACCCCGACCCCGCTTGCTTCGGCCAGCACGCCTCAGTGCACCGCAGCTGTGCCTCCACGAGGCATTCGGGGAAGGTGCGAGCTGGGCTGCCCACCCCTGTCGATGAACAGGCGTTGGCATCAGGGTGCGAGCTCACCTTTGCTCTGCTTAAATGGCCCGATTTGGTCACAGCCGATGCAAGCGCGGCAAGCCCACATTAACCAATCACCTCAGCTCCCGTCTTCCCCTCTCTTTTCCTCAATTCTTCTCCTCCCAGGCACTTGCTTATGATACTGCGCGCGATTGCGTTACCCTGGCCGCCGTCACCCCGCTGGTTGCGGCAATACGCCTCAATGCACCGCCACCGTGCCTCTAGAGATACCTTGGGGGGGTGCGAGCTGGCTGCCCTCCCCTGTCAATGAACAGGCGTTGTAATCCGTGTGCCAGCTCACCTCTGGCCTGTTTGGGTGGCCTAGAGTCGGTCACAGCCGTTGCAGGCGAGGCAACCATGAACGACCAATGCAAGAGGTCATTTGTTTTTGGACAGTACACCCGCAATCCAGTCCGTCGCCATCCGCCCTGCTGTGTCTGGTGTTCCCTATTCCCTGGTCCCCTCCCCGTCGTTCGACCGCCCCTCTGGTCAACCGCCTGCAAGCCCGATGCCTCCTCCTTGTCCTCGTTCTCCAGTGATACGCAGTGCTCCCAGCGTGGGCCCCGGGCAATGGAGTAAACCACTGCGGAGTAGGTCGTTGGCCGACCAGCCTGTTACTACCATGCCACCAGCTGACGCCCATGAACACCATCACCATCACCATCATCGTCATCATCATCAGCAGCAACATCACCATCAGCAGCCATCATCATAATCACCACCATAATCACCATAATCATCATCTGTTCCATCTTCATCACCATCACCAAAACCTCAATCATACTCATCGTCGTCATCATCATCAACGCCGTCATCCGCATCATCTTCACAACGACCACCATCACCGCACCATCACCACCATCAACATCATCACCATCGACATCATCATCATCATCATCAGCACCATCATCATCATCATCATCATCATCATCATCATCATCATCACCATCACCATCATCATCATCATCATCATCATCATCATCATCATCATCGTTATCATCAGCGTCGTCAACATCATGACCATCATCATAAGCTTCAACATCATCCTCACCATCCGCAGCATCAGCATCCGCACAAGCATCACCATCACCATCACTATCACCATCACCATAATCACAATAATCATCATCATCATCATCGTCATCATTATCATCATCATCAACATCACCATCAGCATCAGAAGCATCGTAATCCTTACCAGCATCATCAGCAGTATCTTCGCCATACGCATCATCACACTAATCATCATGTTCAGCATTATCATCAGCAGCATTGTCAACACGATCACCATGGTCATCATAATCATCACAATCACCATCATCACCATCTGTATCACCATCATCAGCAGCATCGTCATCATCATCATCATCATCATCAACATCATCAGCATCGGCATCATCATCAGCATCATCGTCACCATCATCATCAAAACCAACAACTGAAGCATCATCTACAACGACAATCAAACATCAGCAACAACGACTACGATACAATGGCAACAGCAACCATTACATGACTGTTCGCTCCTATCTGCCCGCGTGTCATTCATTATGCATTCCCCAAACCCTGGATACCCGCCCTCTTCGTCTTCGAACGAAACCCCCTTGGGGGGTTATATTCCTTCCCCGCCACGTGCAACTTGGAGAAGCGTGGGAGTGCACCGGGCCCCAGCGCCGATGTAGGAGGGAAACGACGGCAGGGAGGTGGCGAGGCTGAGCAGGGGGCCAGGGGAGAGGAGGAAAAAGGGAGATGGAGGAGCCACCACTTTTTGGTGAGGTCGCACGAATGTCACAACAGTGCTGCGCGGAGGCGAAGGCATAGGGAACGGGGCGCGCGAAGTGAGATCCAGAACAACTCGCGCGCCCCAAGTGAGCACTATTCGAAATGGATCAGCACGGCAAAGGACTACGCGCCGCGGCAGACTAGCGGGCCGATCCCCTATACTTGAGGCCCGTCGCTACCGCCGCGCCGGGCTTGATCTTTTTGTGTGGGGGCCCCTCCTCGTCGATGGGCCCTTGCGCATGGCGGGCCCGCACTGCCGCTTGGAATTGCTCCAGCGTCACGGCGCCCCCCCCCTCGCGCCCGTTGTGGAGGGCGTCCCCGTGGAGAACGAAGCCCATCATGGTGCGGTGGTGCGACGACGCCACGTGCGAGCTCCCCCCGCCGCTGAAGAGGAATTGGGTCTCCCTGAGGATGTTGATCTTGGACGGGTCGATGTAATCCCACGCGGTCTTCGCGGTCCTGTTGAGGTCGTCGACGTTGGCGGTCGACGCATTCTCCGCCACGGAGCTCCGGAGCTGGTCGACCCCGTCCGTGCGGCGCTCCTTGCGCGGGGCCAGGATGTTCTTCATGGCCGGTAAGACCTTCTCGATCTCCTGGAACCGCAGCCGCGCGATGTCTGGTTTCATGCTAGCTTCTTCGTGCGTCTTCTGGCCCTCGAGGTATTCGAAGAACTGCATCTGGCTCTGCAACCGGCGATTGATGCCGACCCCGCGCCTCTCATCACTGTCGCTCGCCAACTCTGTGGCGTAGATCGCCCCCGTCTTCTGCGCGACATTGCAGAGCCCCCGCAGTTCGCGCGGTGGCATCGCGTCGAACTTCCCGCGGCCGCGCGCGTTCAGGGAAGATTTGGGGACCGCCTCCAAACCCTTCAAGTATGTGCGGGGCTCAGCGGTCTTCTTCTTGTCGCTGCTGGAGTTCGCCGCCTGGCAGGGAAGCGCTCGTGATCATTGGGAATGCACTTCTGGGAGGACACGCAGTCGCAAACATGCGCATGCACGCCGCGTGTGCCAGCGACACATAGAGAAGCTAAGCGCCTGTGGTGCTATCGACCGAGTTCAACATCGAACATATGTGATTGCGTGCAAAGCCCCGTTTGGGCCGCAGCTGCGGCATGATCACACAGCGACATGAGAACTCATGGCCATAAACACGCACGCATGGGAACGCAAGGGAAGCATAATGAGTGTCATAAGACAAGAGATGGAGAGAAGGCAAAATGAACGCACGGCGCGCTTGCACTTTGTGGCATGCTACAAGATCAACGCCCAGGCCGCGCCTGCGCCTCGAGGTTGGCGAAGGCTGCCACGCCCGCGGCAGGGCCCCCCATGGCAAGAGCTGGCGCGCGCTGTCGGGCGGAACAAGCAGAGAATAGCAGAGAGCAGCTAGAGAGCCGCGCGCCTGAAATTGCAGTGGAAAAAGTGGATGGGCGCTAGAAGCGAACCACTGCGCCAACCGGAGCCATCTTTCAAAGCACGTGGCAAACGGACATCCCAGAAGCAATCCCTGTGCGACTACCTGCCGCCCGGCGCTGCTGCATGCCGCAGTCCACAGGGGATCTCCTGTGTCCCGAACGCCCTCATCACGCACGACGCCACTGCACGTGCGACGTGCGACGCGCACGGGCGAGACGTACGCATGCTCGCGCCATGCGAGGCGCATGCAGACGCCAGGCCCGCCCGCGCCACGACCCTCCGAGCGACTTCGGGCCACAATTCAGGCCTCCCACGACAGTCTGGGACGACGCGGGCACCTCTGGCACAATCTCGGGGAAGCGCAGATGCCGGAGAACACCCGAGGCGACAAACCTCCAGGAACGAGCGAAAGAAGCCGACCCCCTACCGCCGCGCGCGCGACAGCGATGGTTGGTCGATGGTTGGTCGATGATGTTTTTCAAATGCTACGCGCGCGAAAAGACCGCACAGCGCTTGGCAGCGGGCGATAACGGCGGCAAGGTCGACGACGGAAACCGCCGCGGCGACGAGAAGCAGGACTAGATGGCAATCCAACGATGCCCTCGCGGCAGGCAGCGCCCCGCAACAAGTACTACGGCATCGCGTCAGGAGGAACATCGCCCGGGAGCAGGTCACCATGAGGCTGACCGCCAGGAAGTGCGTCAAGAAGCTGAACATCTTCACAGAGCTGGTCGTCGTCAGACTTGTCGGACCAGCTGTCTGAGCGGCCGAGCGAATAGGCTACTTCACTGGCGCCCTGAGCAGAACACCCAGAGCTGCCGCGCGAACTGGCCGAGCAGCCAAGCAAGCAATCTATCTCACTGGGGTGCTGACCAGAGCACGTGCCAGAGCGGTCCGAAGAAGAGATGGCCACATATGCTCGCGACACGTCTTCGTCGACCAGGCAGCACCACCAGGTAGACTGGCGCCATCAGAATCGCACAGGGGTTTGGATTCGGAGTCTTGGGAATACACAGAGGCCAAGTGTCCCGGATCATAGCTGGAATCGTCAGAACCCGTATCCTGAGAAGCTATGCGCGGGCCACCTGCTCCTCGCCGCCCTGGCCATCGACGGGGGGGAAATCTGATCTCCTGAGTTTGCCGAATAAGAAAAGGCCGGCCTTGCTGCGGAAGCGGGAGACCCCGACGTACGCATAACCACGAACAGCTGCGAAGCGCTTGTTGTTAAACCAAAGTACCCCAGAATCGATGCTGGCGCCCTGCGCCTTCCAGATCGTCGTGGCGTAACCGTAGCAACACGGCAAGAACCACTGCTTGTTCTCGCACAACGGGTAGACAAGAACCATATTGCCGTTCCGCGTAACCGAGCAACAAGCACAGCATTGCCATCAAGGCTTTCCACTAACTCCGCCACAGCCCCGTTGACGAAGCCGCGGGTCTTATCGAGGTTACGCGCGAGGCGCATGACCAGCCCTGTCTTCGCGAGAATGGGAATGGAGCACTTGCTAGCCGGATCAGCGCGGAAGCCCGCCTGCAGCTCCTCCTGCGTAATGCCGCTGTACCGAAGAGCTGCGCGCGACAGCGTGAGCGCCAGCATTGGTGCACGTGAGCCAGGTCATTGGGGGGCCACCGTCCTTCTCGAAGTCAAGAGTGTGTCCGACTGTCTGCTCCAGCGTGCCACGGAACTGCCTGCGGTGGAAATAATCTTGGAGCATGTCCATGGTCGGCTGGTTTTCTCTGATGTGGTTCAAGCAAAGCAAATGCTCTGGGTCCTGCGACCGGTACACCGTGTCCAGGGCCACCGTGGGGCAACAACGACACAATCGCTGGCAGAAGCTGGGCTCGTGTGCATCTGTAACCCTCTCTCCCATGCGGACCGGCGCGAGCTGCTGGAAGTCTGCCATGATCATGCAGAAAGGTGAATGCGGCTGCTCGCACAAGATCTTGAAGAAGCGCTCGAACTCGGCATCGCCGCGCTGGCTGCCTTCGTCCACGAGTATCAGGTCGATCTTCCGCAACGCCGACGGCGGCGACCATCGAACTTTCCCGTCTTTGTCCGGCCGCTTGTAGTTGAGAACGCCGTGAATGGTGTCCACGCGTATGTTTTCGACGTGGTCCGCCTCCGGCAGCTGGGATTTGAAACTGCGAACCAGCTGCCCAGTGGGACATACGATTACCACCCCTAGACCGCGGCCAGCAGCAGCCAAGGCCGCTTCCAAGAGGACTGCTGACTTACCGCTACCCGGGGCCCCGGCGACGTACAGGAATCTCCCAGGACGGCCGTCCTTCTCCTTGTCGATCTGGTCATCGATGCTTGTTTTCTGCTCTACGATCTCGAGGACGTCAGCCTGCTGTTTCGACCAATGGCAGACCTTGCGTGGCGGGCGGCGGACCCTCTCCCACTGGTCTTTGAGCTTCGTGACCTCGGCAGGGTCAGCGGCGCAGTCGAGGGCGCGGCGGTGCAACAAGAACTCTGCCTGCGCGTGCATAACGAAAATCTTGACACGATCTTCACGAAATCCACGGTAAGAGAGGTCCCGGCTGCAAATGTCCACCATCCACTGGAAGGCCTGCATGTCCGTTGGAAAGACATGCGGTGCCGAACTCAAGTCTGCGTCGGGCGCAGGCCGAGTACCGGTAGACGCGCCGATCAGTACAAGTGCACCGCTGTCCTGAATATCCAAAGGCAATGCGGACTCGAGGAACTCGAAGTCACCAGAACGAATGACGAAGCCAGGGCGCGCCTCGCGGTCGTACCGGCAGAACCGCCAGGTCCGGAGATATGCCAATAGGCCGAAGAAGTTTTTCATGTTGTCTGGGTGGGGCAAAAGGTCGCGCGGCGATCGGTGTAGGATCTGAGTGAGAGCCATCTGTCCCCAGCGCCCATCTGCGAGCTCGTACCAATACCGGCGCGCGCAGACCATGGTGGGAGGCCTGCCGTGTGATATGTTCTTGCCCTTGCGGACCTCCGCTTTGAGGTTCTTGCGATCCCACCTGTAATGACGATGCCACTGTAAGAAGGGCTGCATGACAGGCTGATTCGAGGGAGTGGTCCAGGACCTCGCGGTGGTAAGCCGCGCACATGTTCCAGCTGAAATTCCCAGACTGGCCGCCTGCGCCATGCTCTTGCGGCGCGCACAGCGCCGACGCGACGGCGTCGGGCTGCGGCGGGAACAAGAGCTCGTGCGAGTAAGACTTGTCGAACTCGGGGTACTGGGCAAGACGAATGGCGCACTCTGGTATGGACGGCGTCATCTTACTGAGAAGACCAAAAGTCGCCAGCCAGCGCGCTGTGTCCTTCGTTTGCAAGTATTCGCCCAGACCCGCGTCGACGGCGTCGTGTCCTTTCGTGCAGTAGCCGCCGATGTAGTTGAGCCGTCCGTTGCCCACCTGCACGTCGATCTCGCACATGAACAGAAGGCCGAGAAACTTGACGAAGCCAGCGGCAGCAGCCAAACCTTGACCGCTCACGCCCACTCGACCTGCCAGCCCCGCACGGGAAACGCCTGCGGCTGTCAACACCCACGCGCAGATGTGCCAATGCGGCGTGCCCCTGCCCTGCTATTCCGTGCGGACAGCGCGCTCCATCACCCGGGACCAGCGATGACCGAATCGGTTGGAGAGGAAAGCCCACGTGGACAGCACCAGCAAATCCGCCACCGTGCCCTCGGCGCGAAATGGAGTGTCCCAAGGCTCATGCAGCCTCGAGACGTCGAAAATTGTAATCTCTTAGGGGCCCCGACCCAAAAATTCCTGGGCGCGGCCGGGCGCTCTTGGGCGCTCTTGGGGTGACTTGCGTGGGCCTCCGGAGGGCAATCTTTCGACGCCCCTCACGAGGATCGTGGCCTTCGACCCGCCCCTACAGGCCCCCGAGAGGCCGCAAGAGACCCCAGGGCCCTCAAGAGGACCCCAAGGAGCCCCAAGAGGCCCCAAAGTGGCCCCGAAGAGGCCCGAAGAGGCCCCAGGACTGCCCCCAGGAGGCCTCAAGAGGCCTCGAAACTGCCTCCCTGGGGCCCCAAATAGGCCAACCACGAAATCCCAACCAACATCCATGAGGCCTCTGACCCACCAACCAGGCACGGCGGCGGGATAGGCCGAAGGCCACTAGATACATGTGAACGCCGATGCAATAGGCGCCACCGACCAAATTCTCTCGATAGGGCCGCAACCAATACGGCAATGGGAATTTCCATTCGGCCGGGGCGATCGTAATGAACAGATTGGGGAAAGCCGCCATCCATTTCTCGTCCCCGGCAGCATCCCGACAGTGATCGTACAGTTCCTTGTGTTAGTTGAATATTCAGAAAGCAAATATGGACACTCTAGAGAAACACTAACTCTGAATGTCGGTATGAAGGGGGAACTCAAACTCAAGTATGATTTCGGCATGGCCCTCCGACTGGTCTCTCTTTTACGTCTGACTGGAAGCTCAAACTCGGATATGATGTCGGTCTTCTTCTGCTTAGGGATGGACTTCGGTTTCGTGTAGGTTTCTGTAACATCGTGTAAGTCTGATTGAGGTCTTACGCAAATATGATCTGGGTTTGGTTCAGGTGCGATTTACGTATGTGTTCAAAATGTTGAAAGTCTGGTCCAGGCGGGTTAGCAACCATATTCGGTCTGAATCGAACCAACATCAGAATTCAATCAGAGTTCTAGGCATAACGAAAGCACAGAAAATTCAGAGCGTCATCAGAGTCCAGGCGGTTCTCGGGGGGGGAACTGTTTGGGAATTAATATAGAACCGTCCTTGTGGCCCATGTGGTCGTGGCACTTCCACATCTGCACGCGCACGAGATCAGAAAGCGAGCCGCGGGCGATATCCCAGTAGCCAGTGCTCGTCTGCGATGTCCTCATCATGACGTCCGCGGTAACGTTCCTCTGCTGCGCGAGGGAGTGCGCTGCGAAAAACCTGCTAGCCATTTGCACCTCGAACAGAAAAAAAAGACGAGATCTGGGTTCTCGGCGCACGCGCGAGACTCGCTGAAAGCCTTGCGGTTGAAGGAGTACCCACAGGAAATGGTGCGATTCTGCCTGTCGTCGTGGAACTCTGCAAGAAGCCGGGGAATGCCGGTGTCCGTGAAGTCCTCGGTCGGGTAGAGCCAGGGCCAAGCCGCGCACTCGACGCCCTTGAATGTGACGAGGAGGTCAAACGTCCGGATGTTCTGTCCATGCTGATCAGGGTGCTCATGAGTGCGGTTGGAATTGCGCAGGAAGGCCTTGTAAAACCCGTTGTGTTTGACAAGTCAGCGAAAGGCAGCCTTGCAACGAGCGGTAGGAAGGCTGCGCTCATCGACGATGTGAAGCGCATAGAAGCCTTTGCTGACGCCGGTCTTCTTCCAGTTCTTGTGGTCACTCGGTACGTTCGGGGTGGCGCTGAACATCCCCTGCTCCTTCCGTACGTGGATGACGATGGCGCGTAAAGCGCTCTTCTCGTCATCGGTAAAATCCAAAAATGTGCACCCCTCTGTGGCCGACATGAGGAACTCACTCTCGCCTGGCGAGAGCCGGGGCCAGGGCGCCACTTCGCCGGCCCAGGCCGATGGCACGCCGACGGGTGGTAGACGAGGGACGCGGTACAACTGCTGCGTGCGCAGCACAGGCTCCATCTTGCCGGCTCCAACAGCGGCCGCGGCAGCCTCGGCCTTTGCCATGGCCGCAGGCTTAGCCTTGGAAGCCGCCTTGGCTAGGGCTTTAGCCTGGGGAATGCGGTTGGCCATCTCCCCTGGATGAGCGATGGGCCGAGCGTGATCCGCCGCGGGCGCGCGCTTCCCACGCGCGTGCTCCTTGGAGGCCGAGACCTTGTACATAGTCGGGCTCGCACACCAGTGCGACGTCGGCCCGAGCTCTACGCGGCCGGAGTGCTTGACTGGATCCGATGGGATCTCCCGACGGGCGCTGCGCAGTTCCGAGGCCTGGAGCTCAACAGACGCACCGTCGTAGAGAGTCTTGAAGCCATCGCCGTTGAAAGAGAAGCAACCGCAGCTCGGGCAGTCTTGCCAGCGGCCGAAGCAGGCCCAGGCTGCAAAGTCTACATCGGGCAACTTCTGGAAGAAGCCGCGATGGGGTTCGCCCGCGCTGGAGCCGTCCCAGGTCTGGCACGAGTGCACGGCCTCGCACAGGTTCATTGCATATGCTACCGTCGCATTCCCAACGGAACTGTTGACGGGAAAACATAGAATCTTGCCAGTTGCAGCGACATCTTCACTGCACCGCAAAATGTTGCCGTTGGTTACCCCGGGCCGTGTGTAAGGGAAAAGCTTGCCGGCAGACTCGGGGAGCGGCTCGCCGTTCTGCGCCCGACGAATGGCCTCGCGGAGCGCGTCGACCGAATTGAACTGCAAATAGTCGGAATACACGTTGGCATCTGGGTACTTGTGCCGTAGCTGCGCCAGTTGCTCGTGCTTGTTCAAAAACTTACGAAACTCGAGCATCGGGACAACGTCAATTGAGGGCTCGGCCCGGTCGCAGAACCGACGGTGCAGATCAGTAAGTTCGGGCCCAAGCCCTTTCTGCAAGTGCAAGCCGCCAGCTCCGCCCCTGCTGGGGCGCCCGAAAGCAGAAGCTGAAGTAATCTGCTCGTACAGCCAGCGCCGCCACCGGCGCTCGATCCAGGCCGCAGCGCGGGGGGGGCCCGCCAGCTCCTTGCACCTGCGGTGCGCCCTCAGCGCCTGGGCACTGACGCGCGCCAGGTGCTCCCGCCGAACGTTCTGCACCTCGTGCTCGGCTGGGACCCCTGTCTGCATCTGGTTCAGAACGAAATTCGCGCACC